AATAAAAGGGGAAAAATGGGCAAAGAACCTAAATAGACATATCTCCAAAGAAGAGATGCGAATGGTCAATAATCACATGAAAAAATGCTCAACATTATTATCATTAGGGAAATGCAAATCAAAACTACAATGAAATACCACCTCACACCCATTTGGATGGCTACTATCAAAATATAAAATAACAAATATTGGTGAAGATGTGGATAAATTGGAACCCTTGTGCACTGTTGGTGGAAATGTAAAATGGTAAAGCCACTGTGGAAAATGTCACAGTGGAAACATTAAAAAGGAAGGAAATCCTGACATGTGCTACAACATGGATGAATCTTGAGGACCTTAAGCTAGTGACAAGATGATAAATACCTGTATTACGATTCCACTAATATGAGCTAATTAGAGTAGTCAAAATCACAGACAGTAGAATGGCAGTTGTCAGGCGTTGTGGGGGGTGAGGGAAATGGAGAGTTATTATTTTATGGGCATAGAGTTTTAGTTTTTCATGATGAAGAGAGTTATGGAGATGGATGGTGATGACGGCTGCAGAATATTATTAATGTATTTAATACCACTGAACTACACACTTAAAAAATGGTTAAGATGGTAAATTTTATATCTATTTGAACACAATTTTTAAAGTCAGGGAAAAATAGGCCAGGCGCGGTGGCTCATGCCTTAATCCTAGCACTTTGGGAGGCCAAGATGGGAGGATCACTTGAAGCCAGGAGTCTGAGGACTAGCCTGAGCAAGAGTGAAACCCTGTCTTTACAAAAAATAGAAAAAATTAGCCTGGCCTGATGGCGCATGCCTATAGTCCCAGCTACTGGGAAGGCTGAGGCAAGAGGATCACTTGAGCCCAGGACCTTGAGGTTGAAGTGAGCTATGATGATGCCACTGCACTCTAACCTGGGTGACAGAGCAAGATCCTGTCTCAAAAACTAAATAAATAGAATAAAATCGGGAGGAAATAATGGGTGACTTCAGAAGGGGATCAGAAAGATTGTCAGTGGTGGGATCATGGGGGTCTGTAAACTTTAACCTGTGGGTCAAATCTGGCCCTTGCCAGAACAAAGATTTAAGAATGATTTTTACAGTTTAAAAGGGTTGTTAATTAAAAAAAAAAAAAAAAGTGACAGAAACCACATGTGGCCTGCAAAGCCTAAAGTTTTTAAATAAAATAAATATTTATTTATCTGGGCCCTTTATAGAAGAAAAGGTTTGCAAACCTGAGGGACTCATAAGTTGCTTATTTAATAAAGTTTAATGACAGACTTGTACCAGGAAGGCTACTTGAAAGAGAAAAGGTTAACCTGAAAAGAAAAAAGAAAAAAAAATCTCTTTATACTAAAGTTATTTGGAAATATTAGACATAACCCAAGCACTTTTCATTGGAGATAAAAAAAAAATCTCTTTTAAGGCAAGGCTTGAAACCTATGAGGATAATAAACACCAAGTTCAAGATAATGGTTAACTGTGGATGGAGGAAAAGGCATTGGAAGGGGTACATAGGGCTAGCACCTCTTGTATTTTCCTGGATAGAGCTTGAGCCCATCCTCCGAGGTATCACAAGAATGGAAGAATAGGCACCACATGTACTTGCCATCAAATTGGCAGTAACTGATCAACACTAAGGTGCTCACACAGTAGTAATATTCTTTGGGGGCTGGGGACTTGGCAATGGGTAAACTCACAACTAATGGACACGGTGAGCGTTGTAGGGGGGAAAGCACACGCCTCAAATCATGGTTTGGGTGTGGCGAAGTCATAACATGTAATCAAAATGTTTGTACCCTCATCCTGAAATAAAAAAAAGGGGTACATAGGGGGCTCAAGCTATAATGATTGTTTTGTTTCTTAATCCAGGTGCTGGATACACGAATGTTTGTTACATTGTTCCTTATAACTTTTTATAAGTCTGAATATTTTGTAACTAACTATTAAAAAAAGAAAGTAAAAGCACACAGAAAAGGTAACATTGCCTGGCTTTATTAAACAACCAAAGTAATTGAAAATTTTTGTATTTGTTATAAGCACAGATTTTTTTAAAAAATCTTCAAAACGAGTAACTATTAACAAAAGCCCTAATGTGCAACTGGTTAAGTGTCATTGGCCAGAATCACGGTTACCACCAAATTTCCTCTCTGCCGCCTAGTTTACAAACCTAGTCATCACTTTTGATATCTATAATTCAAATGACCAGAGCTGAGTAAACCATAACCTAAAAAAGTTTGTTGGTACAGGTCTTTTAAAAAATAACCTTTTAATATTAAAATACTTTTGGATTTACAGAAAAGTTGCAACAGCAATTTTTAACAGCACCAACATAAACAGACACAAAATACACATACAGCAGTAAATTGTGAAGAGCCTCTAAAAAGTTAAACAAATCAATCTCTTAATTAAGCAACAATTTCTACAACAAGTATGTTCTTCCTCCAGTAGCTCATTTTAAAATTGAGAAGTTATTTGGAAAATAGGGGAGAATTGAACACTCCTCTACTAGCCTCATCCCCCAAAATCATTATCTTTTGTTCTATGAACAGGCAGATGAAAGGGAAAGCCAAGTTGCAGCACCACCAGATACCTACAATAGTTTAAGTTGTCTTGATCTTTTAAAAACATAAACTCACTTTATAACTTAATTTTTAGTGTTTAAATACATAGATGTTTACTTTTTAGTATGGATGAAGAAAATATTGATCCTAGAATAGAGGCTAGGTGATTGATTACTTTTTTTATAAGTAACGGAGATGATGATAGTCCCAACTTAGTACTAAACCACCTGCAAAGTAGGTGTTCAGCCTTATTTCCAGCCTGACAAACTACATGAAGTGGCATATAAACGTGACACCTAAATCTTTATCGACAATGCTTAAAAAATAAGAACGCATTTCTCAGTAAGAACAATGATCAAATTCTTCTGAATAGCAGTTTAACTATAACCTCTAATACAAACATCTTTTTTCTTCTGAAAAACAGACACTAATTTACTTCTCACAGCAACCTGGTGTCATTTTTTATCGAACAGAACACGGGAAATCAAGAAATAGGAAACGCAAACAAAATCCCTCTCCCCGGACCGCGCAGGAGGGAGCCCAGCTACAAAGCCCCGGCGTTCAGAATCCTGCCAGCCTGTCCTTACCTGCATCTTACCACCACCTGGATGTTCTTCCCCTTCTCCTCTTTTTTCTTCGCAGAGGAATTTGGCTGGGACGCCATGACTGTCCCCACCAAAAAATCAAGGCCTGGCCGCTGACTCGGGCACTGTGGGGCGCGGAGTGACTCGGCTGCCGACAATAGCCTGGGTGCCCACCTCCCCTGCCGGGTGCTGGCGCAGTCAGGAGCACCAACGCCCGCAGCTCGGCGTCGCCGCCGCTCTCCACCCGGGACTCTGGCGGTGGGGGCCGTGGTGCACCAGTCTGGGCCGCCAAATCCGTCTTGTCTCCGCCCAAACTAGAAACCGAGCAACGACTCGGCGCCTCAATTTGAAAAAAGGAGCCGAGTGTCCGGACCAATGGCAGCGCGGCCGCGCAAGGCAGCATGGGACGCGGTGTCGTCACCGGAGCCCCCGCCCTCGGGGCGTGGCCCGCGGGAAAGTAAAAAGCTGGTCCATCCGCTTCCGCTGGGAACTCGTAGTCCGGCGGCAGAGAGGCAGAAACGGAGTGTGACACTTCAGCTTGGCTTTGCTCAAGTTACATAACGTTTCTGAACCAAAATTCCCTCGTCTGCACAATGGGAATAATAGTAACCGTCTCAGAGGGTTGTGGTGAAAATTAATGAGCTCGTGCAGGTAAATAGATTAGAACGTACAGTAAGCTCAGGAAAAGCTGGCCATGATTATAATTATTAGACAATTATAAGAAAGTGCTATGGAAGCACAGAAGAGAAAGGTCCAAAACAAGCCGCTTTCCCAGAGGCAGAGTCCAGAATAGTCTTGAAAAATAATTAGGAAGTGTAAGGAGGTAAAGCTACCACGGGTTCCAAATCGTGAAATGGACATTGAATGTCACTTGAAGGACTATGAATTTATGCTTTAGCTGGTGAGAAGTCACGATGGCTAAATGACTCCAAGCAAGAGAGGAAGGTCAAAGCCGGGCGCGGTGGTTGACATCTGTATTCCTAGCTACTCGGGAGGCCGAGGCAGAGGATCACTTGAGGCCATGAGTTCCAGACCAGCCTGGGCAAGATAGCGGGACTGTGTCTCAAATAAAAATGAATAAATAGGTTTTTTAACAAAGAAAGCAAGACCCGCGTTTTAGAACGACCGGGCTGTAATGACCCACGCAGTCTCGGGGGTGCTGGCAGTATCTACGCGGCCCCGCCCAGCGGCCCCTCCAGGAGGTCAAGCGAGCACCGCTGCCTCGGCCTACAAATCCCAGCATGCAGCGCTGGCTGAGTCCTGCCGGCCCTCCGTGACCTCCGGCTTTCCGTAGGTGCAGTGGGCGACCTGGCAGTGCTCGGGGTGACTCGGCCCCCTAAGGTATCGGTCGCTAGCCTAGGAAATACTGAATCAGGTTCCTGTGTTCTGGTCTGTTCCTGAAACGGTGCTTCTGGGCCACACTTAATCCATGGGAACCTAAATGTCGTTTTAGACTCGTGAGTAACAGACGGTGCAAAGTTCTCATGTCTCTTTCGTGTTCCTCCATTTACTAATCCTACATGCCCTGAAGGAAATATCGACATCTACAGCTCACACCGCTGGTCATATCTACTCTGCATAGTCACCTGTCTATTGATATCTCTTCTTAGACGGCTCATTGACATCTCAAAATGCACGGATCCAAAACGAACGAAACTCTCTATCCCCTTACCTCCCCGCTAAACTTTATCATCCAGACACTCGGTGCTAACTAAAATCTTTGATTCCTCCACGTCTAGTGCAGTCCTGTTGGTTTTATCTCATCTGCGACCATCCTAGTCCAAGGCTTTTCTGTCTTCCTTGAACAACTTGTCCTTTACCTCCTTAACAAGTTTCCCTACTTCTCTTTTCTCCTCCCCCACTCCCCCCACTGCATTTACTCAGCAAGGGAAGTATCTTTTGTGTGTGTGTAAAAACTGTTTTATGTTGCCCAGACTGGCCTCAAGCTATCCCCCCACCCCATACATACCAAAGTGCTGGGGTTACAGGCGTGAGCCACCGTGCCAGACGTGAGAAGTATCTTTTAAAAAATCGTAAGATCATGTCCTTCATCTGCTTTTTAATCTTACACTAGCTTCTCACTTGTACTTAGTATGAAATCTAAACTCTTTACTATGCCCTGTAAGGCCCTTATAATCTGGCCCATATCTATACCATCAACTACAGCCACTTTCTACATATCTCACTACCATGCTTCAGAGCTTCTAAGCTTTTTCCCCCGCGGCTAGGCCTTTGTTCTCAATATACCCTCTGCCAGAACTCCCACTCTTTTCATGGCTTGCCCATTCTCATCCTTCAGATCTCAGCTAACCTTTCTCTTTTTAAAAAGGCCTTTCTTCACCACCCTATCTAAAGCACATTCCTGTTATAATTTTCTGTGTCAGAATTCTGTTTATTTCCTTCATTGCAATCTGTAATTACATTGGCAATGTATTGTCTGTCTCCCTGAATAGAATGTAAGTTTCATCAGAGACCCTTTTTGTTCAGTATTGTTTTCCCAGTGTCTTGAACAGAGCCTTACACAAATTAGTCGTTAAATAAATACATATTGAGTACCTGAAGGAAATTATTTAACCTCTCTCGGCTTTGGTTTTCGTATCTGTACAATGGAGATAATAATAATTACGATTATTGCAAGGATTCAAATAATAACACGTACAGAGTGCCTGGCACATAATAGGCAAAAAAAAAAAATCTTTATTTCTTCTTTTGTTTCTCATTAGTAAATATCTAAACAATGCTTACATTAACAGTCTTTTGGATTGATGCAAGAAATTCAAGAGTCTCCATTTGCTAATAGATATAGCTAACATTTATCTAGAGTTTACTTTGTGTCAGACTCTATGTGAAAGGCTATATGTGCATCATCTCATTTAATCCTCAGAACAACTTTCTGAAGTATGAACTATTATTTTCCATTATCTTATTGGTAAACAGGCCAAGTAGGTGTATTGTCTATAGTCATACAGCTATTAAGTATCAGGGAAGGAACTCAGAATTCTTTCTAATTCCAATCTCAGGCTATTAACTACTATTTTCTTGACCTAAATTGTTTTGTTTGCTAAGCGTACATGCATCTACTTTTATCATCCCCTTATTGAGTGCTTACTGTGGTCCCAGCAATGAATACACAGGCTGAATTATCATACTTGCCCTCTTAGATAAAGACAAAGTTTAATGGAATGGCCAGGTTCTTATGGACATTTGTAACAGTTTTGTTGCACTAAACAGGTGGCTGTCATTTTACACTGCCTTTGTAGAGCTCAAACTACTCAGGCTAACAAACGAAAGTCTTAAAAAGTCTGCCCACAATTAGAAATGACTTTTAGCACTTTAATAATAGTTAACCTGGATTCTACCAATGCAACATCGTTGCCTGTGTGTTTGGTCTGGCATTTCTGTTTCAAGAGTGTACTTCTTGTATAGATTATTTTAAATAGATTTTTATTTTTCTTCTTTTTTTAAATTTAGAGATAGGGTCTCACTCTGTCACCTAGGCTGGAGTGCAGTGGCCCAATCATAGCTCATTGTAGCCACGAACTCCTCAAGGGATCCTCCCGCCTCAGCCTGCTGAGTAGCTAGGACTTCAGACTGGAGTCACCACGCCTGGCTAATATTTTTATTTTTATTTTTTGAAGAGATGGGTTTTCACTATGTTGCCCAGGCTGGTCTCTAACCCCTGGGCTCAAGCAATCCTCCTGCCTGTGCCTCCCAAAGCACTGGATTAGAGGCGTGAGCCACCGTGCCAGGTAATTTTTATTTTTCTTAAAGTAAAACATAGACATCTTTTTTTAAGTTAAATAGTTCTAAAAGGCTTATAACAACAAAAAAGTATTTCTCTGCTTCATCCCACCCCACCCCAATGCCTCCAGACTTCTACCCCAGAAGCACCACTTTAAACTCTTTTAGCTATTTTTTTCTAGCATTTACATGTTTCCATGTTTGTAAGGAAATTTGTCTATACTGTTATCTTTTGATTAATCAATTTTAAACATTATTTATTGAATTCTTATGGTAGATGAGGAATTAGTTCCCAAACTTTATCATCCTCTCCCTTCCCCATACACCCAATATTACAATTTTTTATTAAATTAACAATCTGTATTTAGGTTCTTCTTCTTTTTTCTCTCTCTGTATTTAGGTTCTTATGCCTATTTATAGCTGAACATTTCATTCTAGCAACTAGACTAGAAATTTTGCAATGATATGCTTTGGTGTGCATCTATTTTCATATATTGGGCTGAGCATTCAGTGAATCCTTTCAGTCTGGCAAATCATTTCCTTTAGTTCTGGGAAATGTTTTTGAATTA